ACAAGATAGTCTTTGTTTGTAATAAGTCAAGACAGAATTAAGTTAATATGTTATCAATTTATTACATCATAATTTTTTACCGAACTGAACTCTAAGTAAATTCTTTGGATACCATGTCTTTTTTCTCAGTTTTCCAAAATAACTAGCTCGACTTTACGCTCAAGAGCGTCTATATTATTCAAAATATCTGATAGGTCATATAGGTCACATAAACAATAGAAACGGTACAGTCTTGGCAGTATAACTTTGAATAATATTTTGATCATTTGAATCATGTATCTGTATCTTGTGTTTCTGTTCCTTTTTATTTGGCGTTTTTCATTAATTTGTAAATCTGGTGTTCTGTGCCATCATAAAGGTGTACCTTCTAATGACAGTTCATATTTTTGGATTTGTCTAAGTTTTTCAACTTAAACAATCATCAAAACAAACAATAGAGAATTAAAATGCTTCATACACAATATAGATTTTGTATACAGAATTCAGTAAAGCTCACACGTGCAGTTTTCCGAACTTCAAACACATCGTTAGTTTAGAAAATGGCATCAATATTTTTCAGATAATAATAATAAACTTTATCAGTCATTGCAAAGAAATACGACTATATAACAAATGTAAATATATATGATATATGATAAACTCTAAAATATGTACATTATGCTCAAAAATATGAAATTCGTTTACAAAATCAGTACAGCAAAAAAGATTGAGGTTTGATATGCTTTATTCCATCGAATGACTGTTTTCTGTCAAAGTATGAACATTAAATATCCATGTGATTTCTTATTTTTGAAGATTTTGTGTTTGACATCGAACACTTGTGTGACGAAGAACTGCTCTTCGAGTCGGCGGTTGAAAATGCCCATTCATTTCTGCACGAATCTTGAATTATATACCTCAATCCATGTCGTTTGGATGGTAATCAGTTGATTTTGTAAGATTTTCAGCTCTTTAGAGCATTTTAGCTACATTTTAGAACCATTTGAAACGAGACAACTTTTTGCCGCCGTCTGTCAGCCATTTTGTTTTCATTCTGAGACTGCAGTCCATCTGCAAYGCAGGCGCTACCAAAAATCGCTGATTGGTTTATTTTGACATCTCCATGGAAACTGAGACTTTAACGCATGCGCTATCGATGCGCTACCAATTTGAAGCGTAATATTCACCACCACGACGAAATCGCCAGTTCATTTTTAGACGTGGACTTCCACAGGAAGCCCACCTAATTATAGCCAAAGACACTACGCCTTGTAGAACCTCAAGTTGTCATGAGCAAAGAATCTTGATAAAATATATATATGATATATTGTTGTAATATAAGTTGTATTGAGCTATTTCAAAAAAGGTTATCAGATAGAATGGCGAATGTCAATGGTCGAACGGCAATTGCACGACCGAAAGTAGTCATTGGTTTAGGTAGTTGAAAGGCAATAACAACTGATTTGTACTGTAAGATAGTCTTTGGTAAACATTGGCTCCATTTAGTCTCCACTTCTATTTAAGGTGAATCTAATAAGTGAAATTATTTTGTCATAAAATTGTAACCATAGTCCTTTTCGGTCGTGCAATCTCCCTTGGACAAACGCCGTTCGCCGTTCTCCCCGTCAACGTTTTTTGAAATAGCTGTATATTACGATGTATGAAGCGCGTTTCAATCAGAAAATTTGTGCTATTATAATGTCACAGTGGAAGAATATAAAGAAGCTTCCATGGTGTACATATGTATGTATGAGCCAGCTAATGATCGACACAACTATGTATTCTTTTACATGTTACATCAAAAAGCACGGAAAACACTCCAAGTAAAAGTTATATTGCCAGGATTAGTCCGGGCTGATATTTACAATTAAGTTTTCTTTTTTTTCGCTTTAAAATTTGTGTATAAGCTTATATGACAATATAAGCTGATGGAAATTGCAATTAGTTGCTTCTAGGATGGACTAGTATAGTCCGAAAACCCACTGAATTCATAAACATTTGAAATGATAAAAGGTGTTTCAAAC